AAAATGTTTTTTGTTGGGGGGACTTTTTTGGGTGATTGTTTTGTGGTGTGTGTAATCTGTGGTGTATGTGTGGTGTGATGTGTGTGGTGTATGTGTGTCTGTTTGTTATGTGCTTTTGTTTGGTATTATATGTGTTTGTGTGGTGCGTGGTGTATGTGTGTGTTGTGTGATGTATGTGTGGTAACTGATGTGTGTGCAGTGTATTTGTGGTGTATGTGTGTCTGTTTGTATGTGTGTATCTTTGGTATCTGTATCTGTGGTATGTGTGCGTATCTGTGGTATATGTATGTGCGTGTGTGCGTGTGTGTGTGTTTGGTGTGATGTGTGTGTGGTGTGTGTGTGTTTGTGTGATGTGATGCGTGTGCGTCTGTGTGTGTGATGTATGTGTGGTGTGATGTATGTGTGGTGTATGTGTGATGTGTGTATGGTGTGTGTATCTGTGGTATATGTATGTATGTATGTGTGGTGTGTGTGTGTGTTTGTTTGGTGTGATGTGTGTGTGGTGTATGTGTGGTGTGATGTGTGTATGTGGTGATGTGTGTTTTTGTGTGGTGTGATGTATGTATGTGTGTGTGTGTGTTTGTGTGGTGTGATGTGTGTGTATGTGTGGTGTGATGTATGTGTGATGTTTGTGTGGTGTATGTGTGTTTGTGTAGTGTAATGTGTGTGTGGTGTATGTGTGTGTTTTTAACCCAAAGATTGTTAGTAATTTTATTGGAGTAGCGGGGGATCGAACTCGCAATCCCTAGATTCGTAGTCAGACAGTGTTACCACTGGACCACAGCGCCCGCTCTGATTTATAACTATTTTGGAAAGTCCTATATACATTAGCACATTAATGGCCAACAATTGGTTTATACAATCGAATTTTAACACCTTAGTATAGCTGTAAAGTTGAACGTTTTAAATGTATTGTAATTAGACAGTCATTGCCTGAGGGGTTAAAATATAGCCACCATTACAGAATCAGTTTATATTTAAATAAGCATCACTAATTAAAACAAATAAGACGACTGCTAAGCAATGTATGCCCTGTGTCGGAAAAGGGCCCTTTTGGCTGAAACCAAATACCGCCTTTTCTGGATAACTAACCCGTAATTACCAGTTCTCCATTGGTGACTGACTACTGATCCCACATGATTTCTGGATATGCAGTCAAAGACAAATTTAATGACCATTAGGTTCAGTATCCGAGACCAATTATCACGCTTGATAATATTAGTCATTTATTGCAGTTTGGATCATAATAAATCATTACCCGCTTCGAGGGTACCTACCTTTTTTGGCGATATGGAAACTGACGTAATATTATTTTATACAACACGTTCAACTTACTCAGTATAGTGTTCATACAACTATAAATTATCCTCTATTCCTGTAAGTGATTTAAACAATATTGTCATAATTATTATTTTGTTTTGTTGAAAATCATTAATACCTTAAATGAATCGCATAAACGAAACGATACCGACATTAAAGGCCCTTTATGCCTCAGAAATATTTTTATTTTGACTCCTCACAACCTTTTCTTTTTATTTTTGGTTTACTTTTATAGTTTCTAAAAAGTCGGCCAATGACCTGACTCATATTTTTCATCTGTCGCCTTTTTTAGCAATAAGTGCATTTGTAGTGATTTATTGTGTATGGAAGTCAAAATACTACTTTGTTTATATTTTGGTACCTTTAAGACAAATTATTTCATATTCTTTGCTATTTCTTGAGGTAACAAGCATCTAACATAAAAAAACATCATTTAAACGTAATAAAATCCATGTTCATTTAAACGTAACAAAATTCATGTTTGCACTTTCTAAAGAAGAAAAAAATCATTTGTTTCTGTGGCAGAATGTGCTCTAATGAAAAGAAATATATTTTCATAATTACAGTGTACAGGAGCAGCGAATGGTGAAGACTATATCAACATCACGTTGCACTATTTTTCCGGAAGGACCGACGCTGTCTGGACCATACATCAGACAAACACAAACTCAAACTCCTCACAGTGATTACCTCCCTTGGCAGAAGAATTAAGGGGAGATCACTGTGTGGAGATTGACAGAAACTATCAAGCCATTCTAGACAAACTGAACAATGTTCATACTACGAATCTAACCACAAGACTATGGTACAAAGGTGGAAGTATTTCCAAGTGAGTACTTATCGATAGCCATTCCCTACACTTTATAAAATTATACTTCTATATTAGATACTGGGTTGAATTCTTATTGACAAACTCTTATTCTTCGAAAGAAAACATGTGAACTACGGAGCCCCTAAAGTGGCATTGTATGCATTTGCTTTTGTTGTGCTTGCGTTGATTTCCTTTTCGTTCACTATTATATGAAAAAGATCACGTGACAAGTGTACAGTGAGATGTAAAATTTTACCGCTCTGTGAAAAAAAATTAAATTTACAAGTTATAAAGGACTTTTTGGATTACTAAATAGTTGAATGTACTTCTTGATATACCTAGCTAATGTCGGATAATAATAAAACACCGGTTAATAACTCAACATCGACAAAAACAAGGAAAAATAAACGTCCAGCTACCTCGCCTTTGTTATCGGACTACACGAGTGTTTCGTGCAATAATGTACATGGAAGTAATACGTGTGTAGAGACAAAAACAAGTCAGTCAACAAAGAAACATAGACAGCGGGATGTGCAATGTGTAAGTGACTTAGAAAGCTACGAAAACTATTCTAATACATATTTGACAATGGCATTCCCACCACAACCACCGTTCGCCATGGCTCCATACATGACAAGCCCCACCCACTCACAATTTAATGGCGGAGCTTTCAACATCCCTACCCAACCATCTTGGGCGTCTGAACTCCTAGACGAGGTCAAACAAATTAAGCAAAAGCTACAGTCAGTTGGTGACACTGTGAGTACTATAAACTCTAAAATAACAGCTATGGAATCAAAAATCAACAATTTGGATTTGCGTGTCACAGAAACTGAAAAACTTTGTGAATTTACAGCAGATATGAGCGAGAAAAATACTGCAGAATTAAAAAAAACCAACTCAGAAATAAAGCAAATGAAAAAATCATGCCAATACTTAGAAAATGAGACACTTGAATTGAAATCACAGAAGGAAAACCTTAACACAAAACTAGTTGAAATAGAAATGAATCAAATGAGGGACAATCTTATGTTCTATGGCATTAAAGAAGGAGGAAGTGATGAAAATTGTGTAAATCTAGTAAAATCAATAATGACAGACAAATTGAAAATGGACCCGGAAGAAGTAGAAGGAATTACAATCGATAGAGCGTATCGGATGGGCAGAATGACGTCATCAAAATCCACCAGACCAATTGTTGCCAAATTTCACTACCCTAAAGAAAAGGATAAGATAAGAGCAAGATCGTTTGAATATGCTGGAGATCTTAATTCGGTAAAATTGGGGATTGGCGCACAACTACCAAAACAGCTGCGAGAAGCCAGAAAACCACTTTATCCTGCAATGAAGAAAGCGAAAGGTGCTGGAAAACACGTTAGATTTGTTGGTGAGAAGTTGTTCATAGATGGAGAAGAATATATTCCGGAAGTGAGTTCTCAACATTAGAAAGGTCAAGAAGAAGAACATTTAACCATCATATCATGGAACATTAACGGATTAAAGCGTAAATTAATAGATTGTGACTTTTTGGAATATATATCTGGATATGACATTATTTTTCTTAATGAAACATGGATATCAATGAATGACACTTCAAATTTAAATATAAATGATTATTGTGTAGAACATATCTTTGGTAATAAGTCCTCAAACACTAAAAAAGGGAGATTTAGCGGAGGTATTTCATTTTATTATAAATCAAATATCAAGAAATTTGTTAAAGTAATAGAAAAAAATAATCATGGAATTATTTGGGTTAAGATAAGCGCTGGTTTGTTTAACTTTGAAGACGATGTTTATCAGGTCTAGAAAAGTCCAATATTTACACACTATCTATAAAAACACACACCATCTATAAAATTATAGATAGTACCATCTATAAAAACACGGATGTGTTCACACAAAGTCATGTTTTTCTCGTGCGAAATACATGTACCCGGAATTCGATCGAAAAATGTCATCCGAACAGTCAGCAAAAACAGTAAGTTATCAATATTTTTTAAAAGAAACGCATTCTGTTATTGCATTTGAATAAATGGCATATATACAATAAATGAAATATTTCAATAGAATGTTTGACCCGAGTTACCTTCCCTAAATATTGAATAATATGCGTTATTTTGTTTGATATTTTTAAAAAATGGCCACTTCCATCAGCTTACATGTATACACCAACAACGGATGTCACGTGACTACAATAGACTGGTCCTGGTTTCAGCAATCGTCTGTTGATGCTGAAAAATCAAAGTGCTGGAATTACCGTCTTACATATCAAAGTACATGAAGTACTCAGATTTTTATTTGCCTCTACGTATATGTAAAATTCTTAAAGTACTGTACAGCATATGAAACATTTTGGGAAATGAATTATAGTTATAAAATTATTTGTTTTCAGTCATATATTTATTAGTGTATGTATTTTTATTTCTTTTACAAGCAATGGGTCCACGATAAACCTAAACGACTAACAAACCATAAAAAAGGAGTTGCTCCTACTATTCCCAGAAGGAGAAGTGGGAAAACTGTCATGTCTTTCATAGACGACCCTCTTAAAAGGCGGAAAACTCTATCTCAGAGAAAAAGTGGTATTTTTAAAAAGGTATGAAACTAAATAAATGCGCCAATATATAAATAAGATATATGAATGAACTAAATATTAATTTCACTTTAAAAATTATGTAGTTTGTTAAGTTTTTCATAGGTTAAAATGTTGAATTGAAATATTTATTTTATCAAAATGATCACTTTCAACTAGCAACACTAGAACGTTCAAGTGTTGCAAAATTTCAATAAACTGTGTTCAATGTTGTATGTATTAATACTAATTTAATCCAACACTGCTAATTAATAGTTCTTGGGATTTATATATCCATATTGAATAAAGAATTGAATTGAAATTCCAGGCTAGAGAATTACATATTATGACAGGACAGGATGTGTCGTTGACATTTGGGTTCAGGTGTTGGTCCATTTGTGACAGAGCATTGCTGTTTTCATTTGACTAATTTCCAATGTATAATTGAGTAATGTTTATGTCAAATATCCTCAATAGTTATATACATATATTACGTTAATTTTCAATATAAGATTACTTTTATTATAATTTTATATAATAATGTAACGAAAAAATAGAAATACGCAATAGAATTATATTTGTATTATATTAAAAAACGTGAACGGTAAGTCGGTAATCAACAAATTATCTGGGACATACGATACGTTTTCGTATTTATATCTTAGAAATTATGTAGTAAATAAAATAATTTTTTTATATGTGTGTGTGTTTTAAGATGACGGAAACATGAGCCCCAGCCAACTCACATTGACTGTTTCCGAGGTATGTACAGTTGGAGTACAATGCTCGGACGGAAGTCCTTTATTTACCGGTGGAGAGGGAACTGAAAAGCAGTGCCGACTTTGCGGTAAACTATTTGAGGACGACCCTGCACAAATGCAAGACCTATGGATTGCATGCGACAATGAACAGTGCAACTACTGGTTGCACTGTACGTGCTTGCTTGGGAAGTCCAAGAAAATTACGAAGGGATTCGTAAGAAATCTGCCATTTCTATGTCCAGCACATAAATAAAATAGCTTAATTTATTTGATTTACCTTTTCCTTTTACATCCTCCAAATAAAGAAGCAAATCTTTGTAAAAAGAAATTATTACTGCCTTAGTACCACCCCTCTCCCTTTTCCATTGTTCCATCATTGACTGGTACTCCTCATCTCCTCCATAATCATTTATATCCTGTAATAAATATAAATAAAAAATCAGTATGAAATAATGAAACATAAATGTCATGAAATGAAATTATTTCTAGAAATAATTCAATAGATTATATTAAGATTGGTTTTCAATAAAAACATATTTCACATTTTTAGCAAGCAAATTGCTTTAAATTCATCATGATTGTTATATTTGAATGTATATAGCAAATTTATAAATTTGCGACATTGAATTAAATTTGATAAGTACTACTTTTCGTATCATGATGTAAATACATGTATATTTAAAAAGAAAAATTCATATTGTAAATACCTTTAATGTTGCTTCAATCAATTCATGTAGCTGTTTTGTTGTTTTATTGGTTATATCAAAATAGTTCTCTCTCTCTTCTTGAGTTATAAATACTCTTTCCAATTTCAATTTTGCAGGAAAACGTTCGTAATATACAATTTTATTTTCCATACATTTTTTATCAAAATCAAAAAGTAACGAATCAAGCGGTTTTCCGTTCATTGATGATAATTGCGTTTTCCTAAATAAATATCCACTGTCATTCAATTTCTGCCTCCAGTACATGATTTCGACACTATTTTTTAATTTCCTGAAAAAGATATATGAGGAATAAAATATTCTATTATGAATATTAATTAATTTATACTGTAAATATTTATTGTCTTTACTTTTACAGAATTACTTTTCATTATGTTTAAAAACATTTACGGATGAAAAAATAAATATATAAATACCCACCTTGTGTATATACTGTCATCGAAAATCATTTCTCCCAGTTTTGATTCTAATTTATTTTTAACCTTGAAACATAAATTTAAATGTTATTATCTATGTTACTAATCAAATGCTAAAGAAAAAAAAATCAAATTGGTTCAACTGATTTGCAATATCTATTTATTTATTTATTTATTTATTTATTTTTGTTTATTTATTTATCAAATAATTAATTAATTTATTTATTTATTTATTAATTTTTGATACATTGTCTAACATCTTTTGAATTGTTATTATGTTATCAATATAAGACAATAGATTTATACATATAAACTACCTTTTCCATAGAAGTTATATTTTGACAGACTCTCAGCCATCTTTCTTCTGTTGGTACTCCAGGGGGCATCCAAGATTTTATTTTTTTGTTGGCACTCTCTAATATAAAATCACCTCCCTCGGCTTTGCTGTCATTTCCAGACTGTGATAAACTTAATGTGTTGGATATAAAATCAAAAACTTGTGGTGGTGCATGCTTTATAATTTTATCAAATCTGAACATTATTTCCATGTAGCCGGTCATATTAAAGCCGTAAAATAACGGAGATAACTTATGTATTGCCACCCATAAAGCTTTGAAATTTCCTCTTCTAACTGCTGCTCTAAAAAGATTTAAACCGTAAATGTATGTAAATACTATTTTGAACATAAAATTATAATTTGGATATTTGTCCATTGAATTAACGTATTCATATAATCCTGAAATTGAAGGTTCAAGTTTATTTTTTTCACATTTCTCAATATATGGTTTTAAAATTTCCAAAGCTGTTCCATGATAAAATATTTGAAGAATCTGCCATGCTTTGTGGTGGTCAGTGCAGGCTTGACAGGCAGTTAAAGCTTTTATTGATTTCCACCCAAGCATTATCGCCAGGTCTTTGATAGCAACGTCCCATAAAAGTTTAAAAAGTGCTTTGGTTATATTCATTTCCATATGACCTAGTCCAGGGATTAATAATATATTTCCGTATTTACGACAGCTATCAATGTTATCATTTGGATGTTGACGTGTATGTAAAATGAATGATTCTTTGCTGTTGAATGTATCGGAACACGTGGGGCAAATAAAACATCTGTCTATGAGTTTGCTACATAAAACATACGGCAAACCATCACAGCCAACAATTACCCATGATTTCTTATTTATACTTAAAATTTCATCCAAAACAGTTTCAAGACTTTTAAATGAGCATGGATTAATAAGCAAAGGGTTTAGAATAAACACATTTGTTTTTCCTGACACGCAAGATTCTACCATACTGTAATAATTGTCATGTTTAATACTTATGTTCTTTTCAAAAATTGGAGTGTTGTCTTCTTCAAAACAAACTTTCCTTTTTTTCATAATAGGTTCATCACATTTATCTTTAAATGTAACAAAAAGTTCTTGAATTTCTTTATTTCTAAAAGATCGAAACAATACATCTTTATTTGTATCGTTAGCAATAGGTTTACTATCACCAACGCAGTAAAGCCATTGAAAGGGGGAAAGTTCCGGATTTTTTTGTAATTCTGTTTTCTGTGGTGCAAATAGTGCCACCATGGTGGTTATCACACTTACAAGTGGTTTACAATTGTAAGACACATTCCAATTGCGGGCCATAATTTGATTGTTATCGAAAAAAATTAAACAGTCATTATCACTTTCAGGCATTTTTGCCACACTTTTATTTCTATTGAAAAAATTCATTATTGTGGTGTATGATCCACTAGGGGAGTATTTACTTCTCAGTTCAATAACAGATTTACTTCCTGTCATATAATGCGTAATTGTACTAAGGGCAAAGTTTAAAGCCCCAACATATTTAACATTACCTAGGAAACACAAATGCTCGTAGCAATTAATTACTTTTACATCTGACGTGCTGTCTGCACTTAAGTTTTTCAAAAAATATACAAGGAACTGATCAGCGTCACCTAATTCAGATTCTATATCAAAGTTTTCTATGACATCAGAGTCAATTTCCCGTTTTTTAAATTCATTAAGTCTATCTTTACACATTTTTCCCAAAGAGGCACCAAGGTTAAGTAACTGTTCATTCGATAGAGAACGATTTTCTATCATTTCCAGGAATTCGTCGAAAGTATATCTAGTATCACTGGTTGGTGCTATACTTAAACCATAATCATAACACTTACAACAAAGGTAAGTTGCTCTATCACTTAAAATATCAACATTTACCAATGCCTCAATAGCGGTTTTCTTAAACTTTTTACTTTTTTTTATATGGAAGACCTGTGTCCCATTGTCGCCTGCTAATTCTTCATGCATCTTACAGCTACATTTTTTGTTGGTAGCCATAGTATCTGAAAATCGTATTAACAATGACTATGCAATTGGTTTATGTATGCATATATGTTTTTACATATAGCAATAACCTAAAAAAAACACACAAAGTATTGAAATAATAATATTTATTGTGCTGCATATACATGACTATTGTATGCATGTTATTCTTTTTTATTGCCTTTATAAACATTTTATTTTTAAAATCACATATAAATAATGTGGCCAATCGGACCTTATTATTGTTAAAACCGGGTTTGTGTACTGATAAGCCCGTCTGTGGCTAGCCCTCGCATGTAAGTTTATTTTCATTTATTGACGAGTCTTTGACTGTCAGCGTATCTTTTATGAATATTAGACCAACCCGTTTTGGGTCCATTACAAAGACATTGAAAAATAATTAATTTCTTAATTTCCACATGCAAATTTTTGGCTAAGTAAATCCAATTGTCAAAGATTTTGCTTTAAATTATAGATGACCTCTGTACGAATTATAAGTGCTCTTCTTCACAATCAATCAATATTTTGGCAATATATTTTAAACAGACTCTATACGTATTTTCGCGCCAAAATATATCATGTTATTATGATTTGCATGTTATAACAATACAATATTAATTTCCCGTTTTTCACACATTTAATTACTTTTTCATAAATGATAAAATAAATATATATTTATAAATGAACATAACATCATACATGTACATATGTTTAGTTTTTGGAAATGATCCTGTGGCATACCCCAAACCCTCATGCAACGAAATTTTTATGTCTATATCTTCAATTGACCAATTTTTTAAACTAAAATGTTAAATACTCTTATGATAGTCATTTTTTTATTAGGCTATACAAACTATTCTTATTTTCAAAATGGTAAAATGGTAAACGTAACTTAGATCTATCTCATTTCATTGCAATAAGAATTGGCACGGCTTTTTAAAAAATCCCAGCTTATTAGAAATTATATATGAAATAATGTATTACTTTTTGTATCTCTAAATAATTCATAACAATTAAAAATCAGGAAAATATTCATTACTAAACAACATGCGAAGCATTTCACTACTACAAAGCTTCTGCCTGCCTCAGAAGCCGTCCCTTTTGTATCCCAGTCTATGTACACTTTCACTTCCGGTAAAATGGCGTTTGACG